TTGTTCTGATAGCTGACAGTGCTCGGCCGATAAGTCGACGACGGCGTGTTGTATCTCTGCGCGTTGTTCTGATTCTTGTTGAAACTACTTTCTTGGGGCCTAGCACTGGTCGACGGTACGAAGCCGTTCGCCCGTTGATTGTAGTTGTTACCGCTGTAGAAACCGGTGTACGTGTTCTGGTTGGCGGGGGCAGGCACGCTCGTGCTCGACGCTACGTAATTGCTGCTGCCATTGTCATTGTACTGCTGCTTCCTGCTGACCTTTCTGACACCCGTTTTCTTCTTCTCTTGAGCAACCTCGTCCTTGTAGGGCCTCTCGTTCTCGTAGTCTTCATCCTTGCCGTTCCGATTGTTGTAAAAGTTGCCGCTGCTGCTGCCTCTCAGGTCCCTGTTGGCGTTGTAATTGTTCGAGGACTGTACTCTGTTGAGGGTATTGGCGGATGAACGGACAGGGTCGCTGGTCTCGGATCGTTGAAGATGGTCTTGCGGCTCGGCATCGCTGCGTATGCTGTCGTAGTGAAGCGACTCCAGGCCCGATCCTATCCTGTACAGGTCGAAATTGTCGCTGGCGTAGTAGAGGGTGGCTGCCTCACAGTCAACGTCGTACCAGTCCGCGCAGGTCTGACTTTCTTGGTCGAACGCGGTGTCGTTGGGACACAAGAACCTTGGGAAGAAAGCAACGGTAGATAAAAGCAATGACGCGAGTGGGCCGCGTGGGCCGATGGGATGTGAATTTTTCTCGAAGGATAACCTACTTGTAGTCTTGAACGGTGCCGGCCACGGACACGCAGACGTGAAACACTTGGCAGTCAGTCTCCGGGTCGGCGTAATAGCTTCCTACAATCTTGTTGCGACAAGTGAAGGAAGTTTCCGGCATGTACTGTTGCGAGTATCTGGGTGGTGGTCGTTGCAGCCCGAGGACACAGGCTCCGAGCGTAGAAACCACTGTCACAGGATGGGAATCGGTCGGATAAAAGCAAGGAAAATTCGATGAAAGAAGAAAAACGATTTGTTACTTCGCACGAATATATGATTAGTTCACGCGCAATGGACAATTTCTTTTCTTTTTTTCTTTTGTCTGCGGACCTAGGAGTGAAAACACTCCTCTTGAAGAAATCTTGACTTTTTCCGGTGCGTTCGAAATTATTTAACCCCTTGGGGCGCTGAAATTACCAAAAATCTAAAAGTATCTTCTGTAGCGTAGTATTGTAACGTCTATTGTTTTATAAGTAAATTAATTAAACGTCTCGGATTATCTGTACGATACTCTGGAACAAAAACACTCCCCTTAAGGGTTAAGTAAAAAATTAAGAAATGACTTTCGCTCTCCATGCAAGGAATTCACTTCACCGTGAAAAACGAAAATCGTTCGACGAGCCATCGTTGGTTATGGCTCGTCATGGTCCGCGATGATGCTTTTCTTTTCACGCGTGAAGCAGCCTGCGTACTCACGGGATCGTGACGGGATCGCGGTTCTCCCCTCGCGAGGGAACCGCGACGAAATAAGACTCGTAAATAGCTAAGACTTGTAAAAATGGAGCTTAAAAATTTTGGTAAAAAATTTTCCATCTTAACGTACCCCAGACGAGACAGACGAGCCTCCCGATGGATTTCATCCTGTCTTCCTCTTCTTCTTCTTTTTCTTCTTATTTCTCTTCGAGTAAACCGATCACTACAGGTAGTCGATCCGCGAGTAAGCTGGACACTACCGTTGTTACCTTCGCGAAGGGACTGTTGGAGGTGACTGCAGCTTCGAGGAGAACGCCTCGACCGAGAAGAGGATACCCAGCGGGGAAACAGTCCATGGGAGGAAGCCTCTGGGGCCTGGTGTAGGGTAGAGGTAGGGGCCTCTATCCAGGAGAAGGCACACGTGTGATGGGGATAGAGGACGTAACGCTTCGTTACGTCACTCCCCGCTCGATCACCGAAGGCAGATGCTACCTGCCAGTAGACGACCGGAGCACGGAGAAACTATTGATGAAAGCTTCGGAACGATCGCAATCTCTCGTCTTCTCTTCCTATCGAGTTTGCTTCTTCGAACGTCCTGGAACATCGTGGTGGGGCTCCTTTAGATCCGCGTGGTGTTTAGAGTTTGTCGACTTTCTGCTGCATGAATATTTGCATATCCTCGCGTACCATATGTGCATTCTATGCAATCCTGCATGTTTAAATTGTTCGCAAATGCACAGACGTTTCCTCGATTCAGTTTATTTTTCGGACATTCCTAAACTACTAGTGAGAGTTCTCTCTTTTTTTTTTTTTTTTTTTT